AAAAAAAAAAAAAAAAAAAAAAAAAAGAGAGGCTACAGTGAGGCCTGGGCAGTGGTATTCTCAGAGACAATTCTCAGAGATTAAGGAGCAAAATATTCTCGCTTTATTTAAAATGTTCACAGGAATGAGTGGAAACCTCTGAACAAGTAATACCTGGAAGACCTTTCTGAAATGCTGAATGCCTAGTGTGGCTTCCACTGTGCAGACATTTCCCTAAGACAAGAGTGCTGGAGGGAGGGGGGAGCTGGTGCTGTAGGAGCCGAGGAGTCTGGGAGCTCCCAGACACACATCTGGAGTCTGCAGCTGGGTGGTATCCCGGAGGGAAGCTGGGTGCTGGTATGACTTGGGGTGGCCCTTGGCTCTTGACGTCTAGGGAGAAGACTCCTGCCATGGCCATGACAGCTCAGCCATCTCATTTATATTTTTGGACATTCACTGGTGAAACATGACCCAGCTGCCTGAGGACAAGGTCCTTCTCCCCAGACCCGTGGCCATCTACTCAGGGCAGCCCCTGACACACATGCAACCACTCCTTCCTAAGTTGGAGGAAAGTGGGCACTATAACTTGTCATCAGCAGTTCGGTGCCAGAGCTCAGAAAATGTATGTGAGGAAAGCACAGTTTCTAGTAATCATCTTATCTTCACCTGATACTCACCTTCGATCATAACTGGTTCCATAGGGAAACTGCTGTCGCTGGCTCATGCCTAGATTTGACATCGTTCCAGAGGGACTTTGGTTGTACATGTCCTGCATGCCGCTGTTGGGCATCTGTCCTTGCGTCATAAAGGGCTCGCTACTTCCAGGCACTGCAGCATTTAAATCAAAGGCATCAAATTAAGTATTTTCCAAAGTCAAAGGGCCCATACATCCCTTCTAGTAATTTCTGTTGCCTTCATACTTGTATCTTATTCTTAGTATGATAGCCCAATAAAAAGCATAAGATCTGGAGCCAAGATGTGCCTTGAGGGTGGAATTCTAAGTTGGTCCCAAAGATCCCTCTCCTGTGGTGTATGCCGTCTTGGGCCCCTCCCCTTGAGTGTGGGTAGACCCTAGGAATATGATAGGTATCACTCGCCATGCTTATGGCAAAAGGGGTTTCATGTGCATCACAGTGAATGATCAGCTGACTGTGAGTTAACCAAAAGGGAGGTTGTGCAGCAAGCCTTCAGATCTGAATCTAGAGGCTAGAGACGGAACAAGTCAGAGACATTCTCCTGTTGGCCTTGATGTAACTGACATGTTGTGGAGACAACCACGTGGGAGGAAAGGTGGGCAGAGGACAGCCAACAAGAGAATGGACCTCAGCTCCACAACTGCAGGGAAATGAATTCTGCCAACGCCCTGAATGAACTTAGAAGAGGAGCCTGCAGTCCTGGCAGACACCTTGATTCAGCCTGTGAGACCCTGAGCAGAAGCCCCAGGCACATTGTTCTATATTCCTGTACGATGCTGTATGACCATGTATTTGTGTTGCTTTCAGCTGAATTTGTGGCAACTTAGCAATGCAGAGAATGAGTGCAGGTCCAGATCTACTACCTATTTGGGAAGCTACTAACTTTGAGTTTCATTCCTTGTCTATAAAATGAGGTCAGTAGTACCATCTCATGAAGGCATTATAAAGAAGACAAAATATGTACACAAAGCTAGTTCCCTTCTCTTATTAAAAAAAAAAAGTGAAAACCTTAACATTCATCTACCAACTCACTCCAAAATTAGGATAAAGAAAATTATTGGGGAGTTAAGAATAGCTCAAGATGGGATGAGATGCAACTATTTCTAAGAGGGTAGAATGCCAATTAGGTCACATATGCAAATTAGCATTAGCCCAGAGCCTGAAGGAAATTGGGTCAAGTCCAGAAATTAGCCTATAGGCAAAGTAAACATTTTAATATATGTTTTAATTGATACACAGTACTATTGCCTTTCTCCATCCTATGCTAGTTAGTTACTTTCACCTTATGTGAGGCAAAAGTGGATACAATTCTGTGAACTGAAGCACCCTGTCAGGCTGCTGGAGAGGTGCAAACACTGGTGTAACATATTTTTACTTTGCAATGTGCTTTCCCTGTTTTATCTGTTTGATCTCACATCAACTTGTGGTAGAACCAGTTCTGAGGTTACTTTCTATTTTGTAGATGTGAAAACAGAGATAGACAGAAATCAAATGGCACAATTAAAGTGAAATGGCTTAATTCCATAATATACAGGGCGTTTTAAAAAAAGTCCACAGGAAAAGGACAACCAAATTAAAAACAGGCAAATACATACATGTACATTCAAAGAAGAAGAAAAATAAATGTTCAATCAGCATATGAAAATATATGTGAGCTCACTTATAATGAAAGAAATCCAAATTAAAACAATTATGAGGTTCTCCCACCCAACTGGATTGGCCAGTGTTAAAATGACAGATAATAATCATTCTTAGTACAGGGGTGAATAATCCATGCACTCCTTCTTCTGTGCAATCGCTGAGAACATTAAATCGGCATAACTCTCACCAGCTCCTGCTAGCAAACGTCTTCTCTGGCAGTCTCCTGAGGTTCCCTCCCAACCCTCCCAAGGAGGGAAGCACACTGCCCAGCATTTGCAGCCCATGGGGTCCCTTCCACCCACGAAGCCCTGAGCTTGGTCATGTAACCAGCACTGACCATAGGAGATATGGGAGATAGCATGAATGCTGGCACTGGGGCCTGTCCTCTTGGAGTGCTCCGTGTTGAAATGCATCTGCCCTGTCACGGGCACCCAAGATGCCACATGGAAAGGCCCATGGAGGAGGCCCTGGCCAACAGCTCCAGCTGAGTTCCCCAGGAGAGCCTCAGGATGATACCAGCCACTCTGGAGCCATCCAGCTCAGCCCGCAACATGGCTTCCAGATGACAGCGGACACAGCATCTGACCTGACAGCACCCAGCCCACCACAGAACCGGGACACATAACTAAGTGTCGCTCTTCACAGCCACTATGTTTTGAGGGGTAGTTTGCTACACTATAAAAGATTACTAAGATACTTAATAAGCTTAAAAAAAAAGGGTCCACACCCTTTGATTCAACAATTCTGCTTCTAGGACTCTATTTCGCAGAAACAATCATACGTGTGAGAAAACAGCTGTACTTCAACAATCACTGCGTCACTGTTTGTACTAGCACAATATTACAGAACAACCCATCCATTACCAGAGCACTAGTGTGCATCTATTCCATTAAAAAGTGTAAGTGGAGCTACATGGACGGATATTAGCAGGTATTCAAAATACGCTATTGGGTTAAACAATATATAAATATTATGTTCACTGGTATGTAGTCAATCAATGCCGCAATCAGGAAAGTAAGAAGCTAGGAAGGTAGGGAAGACAGGCTGGTGAATGGGCAGCGCAAGACTGCTCAGGGCCACCGAAACTTCCATCAGGCTCTTTGATTTCCTACACTACCATTTTACAGGTCAATGACACCAGCAGCAGAACCACCAATAATAAAGAGCATGTTTTCTCCTAATGCTGGTCATTAAATAAAATCAAAGCACCACCAAGTTCACTGTCAGAATAAGGCAAACTGAAGAATAAAAAACTTTATATAGAACAGGAATAAGACCAGAAGAAAATCTGTTTTCCGCAGACTTCCTGTCTACCCGCTTTAATTAGGTACCCAATATACCAACATTTTAAGGCAGTAGGTGAACTGACATATACTAGGAATTGTATTAGCCCTTGTGTATCATTTACATTGCTGAGAAAAACATCTTATAGACAGTCCCCAACATAGGGTGGTTTGATTTTATGACTGTGCAAAAGCCACATGCATTCAGTACGCTCTATTTAAGATGGGGTTATGGCTGGATAAACCCATCATGAATAAAAATGATCTTAAGTCGAAAGTATATGTTTAATCTGTGGCATTTTCAATTTAGGATGGATTTATCAGGATGTAACCCCAGCGTTAAGTTGAAAAGCATCTGTAAATATATACCTAGTGACTACCACGGTAACCCCGTAAGTCATTCTGTCCCCCATAAACTTATTTCTGTAATAAGAAAAAGTATAGGCAAAGGAAACAAGGGAGACAAAACTCTAGCTAATATAATATATATAGGCAGGATACTAGAAAGGTTCACAATACATTTTGAGGCCACATTCCAAATAACACTAATTATTTTTCCCATGTTACTGTCATATCTTCATAATTTAAAAATGTGGTATGAATAACCAAAAGCACAAACAAAATGTCCTATCTAGCATCTCACATCACTAAGGAAAACTCTAGCTAATATAGTATATAGGCAGCTGCACCAACATTCATAAAGTCTGTGAGTTTCTGAGCACATGAATTTACTGCATGTTCAGAAAAATCTTTACTTGGAGTAAGCAGGCCTTGCTTTATGTAGTTGTCTGAAATATTACAAATAAAACACATACAAGCTGCTATAAATCTTCTTTTTAAATGGTACAAGCCCTATATTCAAATTCTAAAGATGCACATTGCCATTTTTCATTGGTCTGTGATACTGATGGAAGCCAAGGCTTTGGGTTTGGGCTTCCCTCCACTCAGATCACACGCGCATCAAGCAATTCATGGGCCCCAACATCTAAAGACAACACAGGTACACTTATTTAAGGGATCCCAGAAAAAGTACTGCCATACAAATATAATTCACAATGTTTTCCTTGTTTTTTCCAACAGATGCACATCATGTCTCAATTTCACAGAACTTGTATGCATCTGGAAGAATGATAAAAGGTCAAGGAACAGTCTGCACTGGCAGCTTGTCCACTGCGAGCACAGCTGAAGGGACAGTGGCTCAGCAGTCACTACCTCAGCGCGAACTCAGCCCTGAGGGTCAGTGGCATGAAGAGAAGACCCACCCTGGTGCTTCTGACATCAATCTGAAACACCTGAGCTTTCTCTCGATGAGGCACCATTTCCTTGCTTGAGATTCCCAAATTACAGCCAGTTCCAACCTCTGCTCCACCCTACCCACACCTTCCACTCACCACCTTGACAAGTCCCTGGTGACTTGATTGCCCTCTCCAGCCTCATCCTTCCCATCGTCTGCATGGCAGGGTATAATCTCTTCCACACTTCAGTCACTGCTGCCCGGTTCTTCTCCCTCAGCCCCAAGTTCAACCCATCAGTCTCTCCAACACTCAGGGCACTGGGCTCCCCCTCCACTGCTGGGATCCAGCTCCACCCACCAGGCCCAGACTCTCCAGCTCGAGTCTCCTCAAGTTGCTCTGACCTCTCCAGGACATCCCGCCACCTCCCCCACATACCACGCTCACTCCTGTCCTAGGCCCCTTCCCTGGTCACCTGATTAAATGGCTCTCCCTTCTTCCCACTGTCCTCACCCAGTATCACTGATATTTACACTCCTTCTTCCACCAGCCACAATCTTTTTTTTTTTTTTTTTTTGAGTTGGAGTCTCACTCTGCTGCCCAGACTGGAGTGCAGTGGCCGCTCCCGGCCACCGCAGCCTCGACCTGCTGGGCTCCAGCGATCCTTCTGCCTCAGTCTTCTGAGTAGCCGGAATTACAGGCACGCGCTACCACGCCCGGCTGATTTTTTGATTTGTTGTAGAGATGAGGTCTCGCCGCCCAGGCGGGTCTCGAACCCGCGGGCTCAGGCAATCCACTCACCTCAGCCTCCCAAAGGCGCGGGATTACAGGCGCCACAATCTTTAATTACCTATTTGTGGCTTATTTCTTGTTTGCTTCCTCTAAAGAATCTGTTAATTTCACGAATGCAGGCAGAGACTATGTCTGTTTTACCAACATACCACCAAACACGGTGCCTAGCTCATGCTAGCACGACACCACTACAGTCAATACCAATGCCGACGCCAGGTAACATGCAGCACAGGCTTACTGACCACAGGTACCAGCCACTCTTCTCTGGGCTTTGTGTGAATTAACCTAATGAACCTTCACTGTGCCCTTTCAAGCAGGTCCTATTTTCCAAATCCCTAAATGAGGAAAGTCAGGTATAGAGATGCTAAACATTTGTTTCAAGGCCACACATGTGGCAGGCTGGGGAGCTGAGGCTCACACTTTGGCAGTGGGCACTCAAGAATTGGTTGTGGAACAGCAGACAGAATGCCCTCTGGACCATGACCAGCAGAGGCCTGTCTGCACATACCTTTTCTCATTCCCCCGAAGGGGTCCTTGTTGGGCTCATAGGGCATCCTGCCCATCACGTCAGGCATGCTCATGCCCTGCTGGTAGGGGGTGTTGGGAGTCATGGAGTTCCGTTTGGGGAATGATGACTCACTCACATCTGAGAACGGGTCATGCACACTGATTGTACTGCTTCTGAGGAGATGCAAAAAATGAAAGCGTAATGATATAGCAGGAGTCACCTCCAAACACTGTATTCAGAAAATAAACCAATCCTGGAATCTGCAAATGCAAGAGCCATCCAAAATAAATTACATGAATAAAACTAGTAGCAATCAACATTTAAAAAACTCTCTAGGGAACACCATTTCTTCTATGAAGTCTGTTCCAGCAAATTAAAAGACAAACAAATCCGACTCCGTATGGCTCATAGTTATTTGAACATACCTTCCACCTTGCATTGGGGTCATCTGTCCATGAGGGGTGGAGGCTGGAGTGGGTGGCTTCAGGTCGCCTGGAACCTCAGCCATGGAGTTGCTGCCAGTTGACTGGGGGGTCTGTGGGCCTTGCAAGGATCCTGAGTTGGCTGAAGGTAGCAGCACCCGGAGAAAAGGGGGAAAACTAGAGGTTACCAAGCAAGCTCATCCTTGTGTGTTACATACAAAAGAAATGAAAATGAAAATGTGACACCATCTTACTAGACATATCAATAACCCCCGTTGCTGATAACGATGCAGTAAAATCAGTGGCTCTTGCATTATTTATAGTGAAAATTAGGAATAGTTTTTTGAGTAAACTATTTGGCAACATACTTCATTTGTGAGCCATAAAACATACTTATATGCTTTGGCTGGTACCTGTTTCTTGGGTATTTATCCCAAGAAAAGAATCTAGTAAAAAGGAGGCTTTAGGCAGAAAAATAATTACTTCAGTGTTAGCTATACTAGAGACAATCTAAATGTAAATTTTAAAGAATGGGATAAAAATCTTGGCACATCAATTTGATGAAATATTATGCATTTTTAGAAAAAAATTAGAAAACTTAGTTCTGGGTCTTTGAAAATGAAGAACATTTAAGTTGAAAAGCAATGATACAAATCACTAATGAGTCTATATAATTTCAATACCTTCTCACCAACTGAATGTGTCTATGCTCTGTCATTAATAGTAAGCATTTTTTGAACTATGAAGGCAGATTTATTATTAAAAAACACAAGTCATACTGGTTTGGAGTTCTTTAATGTTATCAGAGCTGCAAGATTTGGCTTTAACTATAATTACATTACAATAACAGCTTGGAGTTGAACTGGATTTTTAAAAACTTAAGTAGGATTCTTGAAAAAAAAATGAGTTAACCTCACCTTGAAGGAAAAACATTTTAAAGGCTCCTGCTTTATCATCTGTCACAGTTCTTAGCATGTTAGATGTTCAATAGATATTGGTTTCCATTGTGAATTAAACAAACAGATATTGAATGAATAATATGCCTTCATCTTCTAGACTCTTGCCACTGCTTGAATATGGCATACCAAACTAGCAAGAAAGACGAGGACCCTGCCCTTGTGGTGTTTACAATAAAGGTGCTCAGAGTCTTAACAAATGGCAGTTGTGGTGCTTGTGCATAAGAACATTTTACATGTTATTGCTTGTGCTTCCTGTCCTATGATGTTCCCAAGGCTCACTGCAATTGTCATCACTTACAATTTACTTTAGAGGCAATGGAGGTTAAACAAACCACTAGAGATTACAGAATAAACTGCAAAGGAGTAAAAAATACAAATGAGGACATCACTTCCACTCAAAGCCTCAGCTCAACACAGATGTTTCCAGCCACATCAGGTCTGCCCAGCCTCTGGCCTAAGTTGGAATGTATACCGGCCAAAAGGGCTGTGCACCCTGCGTAACTGTCCATCCCGATGAGCCTGGCACTTGACTGACTCAGAGAAGTTTTCAGAGATGCTGGAAAGAAGGACTTTCAACGTAGGTATCATAAATGAAAAGCTTATTAATTCATGCTTACAAACCAAATTTTGGTAAAACCCTGGAAATGCATATTAAAAAGGTAGGTTGCAATAAAAGAACGAAGTAGTCTTTTACAAATCTGTAAGGACAAACCTACAGACACTACGGCCCCCAGAGCGCTGCCATGGGGAGGGACTTGCTTCTAAAATGCAGGCGCAGACTCTGCTCTAGCCTTGACAGCTTCCTTGGAAACATGGCTCACGAGGCTGTGATTTCAGAATGACCCTTATTTACAAGTATTCACATTTACAGCTAATAAAAAAATTGGAAAAATTCTCTCTTGCCAGTGTTTTTTCTTTTCCTTTCATGAAAAAAAAAGAATGCAACCTCGTGCAACTCCATTAATAGAGAGGCTGGCACGCTCTCTAGGACATCCCTACCTTTTGCCAGAAGCTACAAATGTATACTCTAAAGTAAACAATGGAAAGGTTACTGAAGGTTAAGTACATTCACACACTTCAGACAGCATGGCCAGGCTCCTAGCTGGGAAGATAATTTACACAGCACGAACCTGGTGCCCTAGTTCTGGCAGGGTTGCAGGAAGTAGGGTGGGAGAAGGACGAACAGCTGATGTGTCCCAGGTCTACAGTGACTAGAGGTCAACCAGAGGGCACCTTTGTTTATAACCCGAGCCCCTTTCTCATTTATCTTCCACTGAGGATTCCCTAGTTGGATCCATGACAGGTTCTGTGACATCACCTGTCAGCTAATAATAGAAATTCACTCAGCCACCTGCCAGCAAAGATGGATGGGTTTTTGGTTACAGACTCACTAATTGAATGTGGAGCTTCCCTGCCCCCCACTCCACCCCACTCCTCCCAGTCTGCGCCTCCCCCCTCAGCCCAGCTTCCAGGCTGCAGGGGCCACACAGAGGCGATTCCTATGGCTATTCATTAGAACTCATTCACAAACTTCTCAAGGTGCATTAGAATAACAAGATCCCCACTGGCACCTTAAGGATGCAAACCAGACCCCAGACTTTGCCTAGGCACATGTGGAAGTCTTATTCCACTGACTATTCAGGTCCCAGGACAGGAACCTGGACATCCAGTGTGAGAAGTCACACAGTCCTCAGCAGTGACATGAGTGCAGCCCCAGGGGCTGAAGGGTTAGGCCTCCCGGGGGTTGGCCAAACTAAGTCTAGACGCATGTTAGCCACATCAAATCAAAACTGGACTAGAGATGGATGACTTGGAGGCCATGATTTAGGTTTCAGCGAGTTCAGAGTGACCACTGGAAAAAAATCTGGAATGTTTCTTAGAAATATTTAAGTTTAGTTTGCCTAAATGTGCTATAAAAGTAAACTACAATTATGTTCTGATGGGAAAAGGGGACTTCAAAGAACACATTTTTGCAAAGAATCAGTTTTTAAAAATTTTGTAATAAATGAGACCCATTTGTATGGCAAATGGAAATTATTTTATTCTCCTTTAAGAACTTTTCAGAGACTCTTTCCCTAGCGATGGCACTGAAATCCAAGAGGCCACTTGGTGCATGGATGGTGGGGAAGCTGAAGCTTTCTGATCAAGGGGCCACCTGGGCTCACAACCCTGGCCTGTCTGTGCCCGGAGCTCTCCGCACGGTGCTGTCTAGGCTGGGCCCACCCAAGGCCTTCTGTCTACTTGCTCCTGTGTCACAGGGCCCGGGCTCCATCTGGACTACTGAGACGGCCGTATTATCACAAGTGCATCTGCAATCGCAGCTCTTTTGTGCAGTTAAAATGATAATGTTGCCATAAAAATGGCAGTTTGAAAAAGGGAAAAGGAAAGAGCCGGCTGCTGAGAGAACAGGCCTTCCACTTTCTGAAGGATCTATGTCCCAGCAGGGCTGCCTGTGCTGCAGCCGACGCACCCTAGGAGAGCTATTCTCCATACACAAGTGCAGACCATTCAGTGACACGAGTCCTTTCCTGGCAAATAAAATACACCCTTAGATCTTTGCAGACATCACCACTTTGGTCCTTACACCCCACTGGGTTTTTATTTTGGAAAAATAGTTTCAGAGCTGCTCATAGGCAGCTTGTTTTACCCTGTGAACTGAATGTAATGTTGTGAGATTTTTAAAATTAGATTTCCCAGTTTTCAAGGGACACCGTAAGGGGCAAAGGCTTCGAATCTTTAAGGGCAGGGCTAGAAGGGAGGGTTTCTGCTTGCACTTAGAGCCCACAGATCTGTCTGGGTATATTCACTGCACATGCACTTTGGGCCTAAAAAGCATCTATGGGAGGTCCCTTGATTAGCAACCTTAGCAACCAGTTTTGCCATCCAGACAGAAGAGGAAATCATTGAGAGAGAAACTTTCTCTGGCTTCCATGTGTAAACACTTCACCTGTAACAAAGGCGTTTTCAATAGCGGCAGAGGTGTCTGAGGGGTGTGGTGTGTACCCCAGAGCCAGAGCCCTGGTGAGACTTTCTGTTCCCAGTTATGTGACTCTGGCAAAGTACTGAGGTTCAGTCAGTGTGAAATGTGCAGACAAAATGATACGGGCTAAGAACAGTGCCTGGTGGGTGCACTGGAAATGCTCAGGAGCATGGGCTGCCATGTAGGGAAGCAGCCACACAGGGAGAGGACCGGCAAGGCTGACAGCTGAAGGCCATGGCTATGGAAGGGGCCTCTATAATGACTAGTAGTCAGAAACGGGTAAGAGAGCAATCTTTACTTGAGAGAGGCTACCGCCTAGAACTAAGGGCCCAATTCCTTCCCATTTCTAACTGAATTTATCAGAGTATATGATTTTGTAATTTCAAATTTGAAGCCCTGACAGGACAAAGGCTAGCAGGAGAGCTGAAAAGAATGGCAGGGTCTCTGATAGTGGGGTGGAGACAGGGGGTGTCACTGATGCTAGCAAAATTAGGTAAGCCACTTTGCAACTTTTCCTAAGACCCCTGACCCGCAGGGCAAAGAGGCTGGGACCAGTTATTTCAGAAATAGGGTCCTATGGGTCTACACGATGACAGCTGCTGAATCCCCTAAAAGTGAGAACTTGCTGGACAGAGAACATTAAAAACTAAATCCAAGTTTCATTTTGCTAACGTACAAATCTGAGTATTCCGACAGAGAGAGCTGACACCGGTGGGCTGTGAAACCTGCAGGGTGGGCTTCCCAGAGGCGCTCAAGTGTTGCAACAGGTCATGGGAATCTTTATTTTGTGCAGCTGTACAGGCTATTTTAAAATACTCGTATAAGAAATGCCTACAGCTCAGAATTCCAAAGAGTGCTTTCACAGTGCTGCCCAGAAGATCCCACATTTTATTCCCTGTTCCCTAGGCACAGCCAGTGGGGGGTCCAATTAAGTAAACATAACAAAACAATACACAAACCTCTGCCTTTGGAAGATCCCAGGTTCTCCACTGAGCCCTGGGAACTCCTCGGCCACCGCGTGCAGCGCCGCCACTTACCAGGAGATGGCGGCTGGAGCTTGGGCTGCTTCTTGGCGTCCCCGGTGCTGAAGACTTCCGGCGGCGGCTCCTCCCCTCGTTCGATCTTGCACTCGAAGGCGAACAGGTACTGGATATACTGCTTTTTCAGGGAGCTCGCCGCACTGCTCGAAGTGCCAACATTCAGGTTGGTTGCCAGCTCACGCCACTTCTTGTTTTTATTAACCTAGCAAAAAAAAAAAAAAAAAAAAAATAAAGGGCAGGACCATTGGTTTGCAGCAAAGTGGCTTGTTTAAAGCCAGGAGACAAAAAAAGCACTTAATGTCTTGGTTTACTTTTTTTCATTTGCTTCTTTTAACTAATGCTCATTACTCCCACTCAGTAGTGCACAGACAGCATTTACAGTTATAAAACCATTAAGGAACCTGCTGATGGCGACATAAAACGCCCTGCACGAGAAGTCCCGCTGTTGGCTGCATCTCCTGAAGCCTGCCTCTCCCAGAGCCAGCGAGCTCTACCGGCGCCCTCACACCCTGCTTACTCACCCCGCCCCATCTCTAATTAAGAAAAAAGGGCATCTAAAAACTAATTTTAAAAGCAATACCTGCACTATTTTGCAATTTAAGTGTTTGAGCACTGAGATGAAAGAGTGTTTCCTTCCAACAGCCACAAGCTCCCAGAGATGAGCCTGAGATTCTGGGCCCACGCCTGCCTGCTCTCCTCTCCCTTGAGGGCTGCTTGTGATGTGGGCAAAGGTGGCATCTGGTACGAAAGCAAGCGAGGCCCCTGGACCAAATGCTCCCAACTTAAAAAGCCCGATGCCACCCATCAGCCACTGGCTGGGCTCTATTAAGCCACCAGCCGGCCGACGGTTGGGGCACACCTTGCACAGGCTGCAGATGACACAAATGCAAAAAGAGGAGGCGAGGAAGAGAGGAGACCTGAATGTTCCATAAGGACTCGAGGCATTATTCTAAGCTTCTGATTCCCACTTGGGAACAGGTTATGAAAGGTTAAACACATGAATGAAACATGAAGACTTGCAAGTAACTCGGGGAATGCTTTGCCTTGTGATGTTTCCTGTGTTGCAAAGCACCGTGAGGGTTAAGGGACAGTGGTTTTCAATGAAATACTGAATTTCTGGATTCCAACTTTCTCACGAAGCTCTTTCCGTCCATTTACTTAGTATTAAATGGTGCATAATAAAACACCGCGGAATGCTCAATGCCTCTCTTGGCATCGATACAAGTCTGCAAACAGGGTCTGCGGATTGCTTCAGAGATGGAGAGCAGAGTGGTGCTTGGTACCCGAGAAGCAAGGCCTTGAGCTGACCTCTGTGGCTGCGGCACCTGCTCCCAGCCACATCTGCTGCCCACCAGGCAGAGAGCATATGAGCGAGTGCGAAGATACAACCCAGCTACATTCCAGAAACCCTCACTAGCCAGCCAGCAAAGGGTCTCCTTACAGTCAGCATGGTTATAGGCAGACAGAGTAAGGTAGTCAGACAGAACTACTCCATGCTGGTTGGGTGAGCAAACTAGCAATGTCAGAACAGGCTAGGTGCACAGGGGGAAAGGTCAGGGGAGCTCATGTGCAGGGGAGAAAGGTCAGAGGAGCCCAGGTTAGAGAGAGGTACATCTCGACCACTCCCTTTGCTGACCACACTCCTAAGTGGTGTGCATCACGCCATTTAGTATCTGGTTGAAGCTCCAATTCATTCTTTCAACCATAGTTCTCAGTCCCTCATGGAGGGATGAGGCCTCTAAGGGGAAGGCTCAGATCAAGGTCCCACCTGGATCTCCAGAGCACTGAGATCATGGTAGGCCTGCAGTGATACCTAGGGCTGAGATGACTCGCTCTTGGATAGTCAGTGACCGCCACCACCTGGGTGGGGTGCAGGATGCCTCACTGTGACTGCCTATTAGACCACCTAGGTCTTCTTTCATTAATCCAGGGCGGGGACCCAGGCACTGCCAGCTTTTCAAAGCTCCCCAGGGGATGCCAATGCATAGCTAGGCTCCAGACAACTGTACTGGTAAATGGAAAGAGCACATGTTTTGAAATAGACAGACCTGGTCCCTCACCTACTCTGAGAGTGTCCCTGGGCCACAAAATTAATGTTTTGTTTGCTTTTACTGGGATAGAGGCTCACTCTGTTGCCCTGGCTGGAATATAGGGATGCGATCACAGCTCAATGCAACCCTGAACTCCTGGGCTCCTTCTATCTCAGCCTCCCAAGAAGCTAGGACTACAGGTGTGCACCTTGCTATGTTGCCCAGGCGGGTCTCAAACTCCTGGCTTCAAGTGGGATTATACGTGTGAGCCACTGCTCCCAGCCCTGTGCTTTATTGTGTTACATAAGGGTTTCCTCATTTATTCTTTGGGACTAGTGACCTGAACGCATTTAGAAAGGCAAAGGCCACACAGTGAGGTGCTAATTTATATATTAGTACCCTTTCCTCATTTCTATCACAGGTCACCTCACCACCAGCTAGAGTCCTTGCTAAGGTTTACAGGCTAGAGTAAGGAAAGCCTGGTGTCTGGGGTACAAGATTTAAGGGGGCACTTACTCTAAGTCAACAAGGCACACAGCACCTGGCACAACCAGAAGATGAGGGCCTCCCTAAATCCCCCACCCCAGGTGCCTCTGCGGCCCCACCTGAGACCCAGCCCTTGAAAACCACAGTTAGCTCTGACCCCGCTGGCTGTTCAGGTGCTGTGGGCATGGCTTTACAAATGTGACTTACTTTTGTTGCTTTGGATAGAAAATCTGACACAAACACGTAATTCAGTCATTTGTAAAACATTTCTGGAGTATTTACCACGAACTCCTGGCAGATTCCAGAGCATTCCACAGCTGTCAGGAAACCTAAAGAAAAAGCTGGTCTTTCTGATGGTACAGATGAAGAAACTGAGGTCCAAGTAAATGACTTGCCGAGGTCACACTGTGAGCTGTGGCAGAGCCAGGGACCCCTAGTGTCCCTCCCCTGGCCCCAACACACAGACACAGGTCCCAGGAAGGTGACTTCAGTGCAGGCTTAGCCTTTCCTTTGTGAGGAAAAGAAAACCCAGTCCATATATTCAAAGAAGCCACCATTAAGAGCTTGTGTGTACTGCCCTCCTTGTTCACTCACTCAGTCACTCTTACCTGTGCCAAACCTCCAATCTCTTTGACGCAGACATAGAGTCGGAACAGGTCCAGGGGCTTCTTGCCCACAGCAGGCAGACTGGACACAGGGGAGCCTCGCTCTTCCATGAAGGTGAGGTACCGGTCGACCCAGAGCTTTCTCTCTGGCTCGTTCCCCAGTTCATATACCTTTGTGATCTTCTCCCCAGTGGTGGTGGAGGAGCTGGACTTCTAGTGCCCAGAAGGAGCATGTGGAGGTGGGGCATGGGTGGGCAGAGGGAGGGGAAGAAGGTGAGAAAAAAGAAATGAGCCAACAAGTACAGAAAGAGAAGAGATTAAAAACTACTGCTATCACACAACAATTAGGAATGAAGGCTACTAGTTCAGGCACAAACTATACATTTTCTTAATTAGAAATTTATATCGACTTTAAATAAAGGGCCCAAACTCCCCCTTTTACACACTTAAAAACAAAAGCAAAAACCCCCAAACCTCTTTTTACTTTGTTATAAGCGTTGAATCCCAGAAGGCAAGATTCCAATAACACCTTGGGTCATTTTTAAAAATAAAAGGGTGTTAGTTTATAGAATGATCACAGTGAGCTAAAAATCTTTCATGTACTATTACAGAGCCCCAAACAGCAAATGGACTCCTACTTTTCCTTGTCAAAACAAGAATGGCGAATGTATGTCTTCATTAAAACTTTAAATCACATGGAGGAAGAGCAAACATGCAGTGCTTGCTGATGATATGTCACCACTCACAGGGGCCAGTGGTGTGGGCTTAGACTCTCTCTTTTTTTTTTTTAATAATCTAATGGCCACTGAAAGCTTTAGCCTTTGGTCATGACAACTAGCCTTCCCTACTTAAAATTCCGTGAACATCTCTGTCAAGGTAAGGATCTGTTAGATAATTATTTTAATAGATTTTAAAAATCTATTGTTTTAGAATAGACTGAAAAATAGAATCCATGCTTTAACCATGTACTGGTTCATATCCCCAGCAATCTATGGACAAACAATGCGTTTACTTTTATGCCATGTGTTTATGCCATGCTCATGAGGTTTACACCGATGCTCTAATTCTTGTTTTCAATGAATCTGATTATACCTGATAATAAAATGTCAAGAGTTGCAGTTTCTGCACACCAGACTCACTCCCTGGAGTATGTGACCTGGGATAAGTGACACTGCTAGCCCTAAGCAGGCCAACTGTATTTCTTCCCTTTCTTTAATATCTTTATATTTTTGTAACAATATCTACAGTGTTTGCAAAGCCAGGGTTATTGTACAAAATCATTTCTAAGCTCTCAATAAAGATTCCTTGGAACAATAATTTACTTCATTTATTCAGGCATACCTAGGTTATCATTTGCAATATAGAGCCATTATTACATAAAGGCAGAGCTCTTCCTAAGTTTTTTCCTTTTTTATAGTTAGCTTAACATAATTTTAAACATATTTTTGAAAAATTGGGAGGTTAAATAACATAATTGCCATTGAGGCTAGATGTGATCTTATTTAACAAAATGATCTCAAGTAAAAGCAGGCCTCTGAGAAGGGATGCCTGAAAACCAAACTTGTAAAGATGTGGTGGCTTCCTTCTGACTGACACATTATTCTCCAAAGCCGTTTTGGTTGAAATCTGAAGTCTTCAGCTTTAGATTTATTGATGCATAAAATCTCTGTCGAATATATAAAAAAGGGCGATACAATTGATATAAATAAAAAATGCAGAATGGTAGGATAATAGAAGTGTAACCTTTCAGAGTATATTTTGATGTTGAAGTTAAATTTCAAGTCACTTAATTAGAGCTTACAAATATATACACATATTCATTATCTATCTATCTATCTACTCATATGTACATTTAGAAGATATATATCCAAACTATTTAAAATTTAATTAAAATTATTTAAAATGTATTTGTAAATTTAAAACATACTCTTAAATGTTCTTTAAAGTTTGTTTTCATATTCTTATACCCAAGGACTATTTGGGTGTAAGAAACTGTTCTAGCACACTGCACACCAGACTCACGCTGACAAAACCCCAAAAGTGCTGCCACCATGCACAGGGTTGGTATTATCAGCAGTTTCTAAATTTTAATGCTGAATTTTTTCTCTTTTGGGGAAGCACACTTAAAAAATGGGTCCAGTGCTTTTTAAAAATGAAAATTTGAAATAAGAATACGAGGAAAAAAGCATAAACTTTTATAATCAATTAAAAAACTTCCTTTTTGCATTTTATTTGTAAAAAATTGAGGTAAAAGTCTGAGATTCAACTTAGGAATAAGAGAAACAAAGCAATCATTTCCATTTAAAATTACTCCAAATAGTGCAACCAACATCCTGCATATAAGTTCCACCTGCCATGTTTGGCTTGGTCTTCTCTACACTGAAACTGGGCATGGTTGTGGATACATAGTTAACCATCAATGGAACGATATACAGAAATGTCTGCTCCGACTTTTGAAAGGATTGAATTCCTATAAGCTGAAACAGGCCTAACATAATGATTTATTTAGTTTGACTATACATTTTTTAACTTTCCTCCCCTTTCTGTGTTAAATGAACTTAAGTTTAGTTAATTTGTGCATATCTCAATCTGTTCTCATAAAATTAGAAACATTTAATGAAGGTAATAGTTTTGAATAGAATAGTTTTATTTTTCATAATTTTTAGGTCATCCAAGAGACACTTTTATGGCACCATAATGTAGGAAAATGCATCTGCATGGACTTGATGTGGTCAGGCCTCAGTTAACATGACAGGCCCTGAAAGAGGCCTCCCTGAGGCTGGCTCACTAACTTAAACTAGGGCCTTGGTTTTAATCCACCATCACACCCTTCATATTTCCTTTCATGCACTTTGTTAAACAGTGCATAAAACTCTGTATTTTGCATATGATCACCTGTCTGACGCCCACTTTTCTGACTACACTCTAAGTTGCACTAGGTAGGGTTCATGCTGATGTGGCATCTCTAGCACTTAGTGCACTGGAGGTCCATGATAGATATTTGTTCCGTGAATGATTACTCGAATGAATGAAAAGAGTGTGAGAAGTCTGGCAGCATGCAAATAAGAATTAATAGCTGATTCAAATATCTATAAATAGGATTTCACTGAGCAAAGTGTGATGTGAGCATGGGACAATCTAGGAAGACTGAAGACCGAGAAAGGGGTTGTGGCCCCCACCTGCATTTAAAATCTCCGCCCTAGCCTTCAGGTTTGCTTCCTAGCCAAAAGATTAGCAGAGTCAGCATCTGGGTATCTGAACAGACAGCAACAAAAGGCTTAGTGAATAAAGAGCACACATGTGATCACTGTCATCACCAACCAGGCTCAGTGCACACGTTGCTTGTTCACAGACTCGGTCACGATGGACCCTTTGGATAAAGGGCAGGTGAACCAGCCTTCGGAGTGGTGGGCTCACTTTTCCAGGTCACCAAGGACCATCTACCATTGCTTCAGTGCTGTCAGAATTGGATCCTACTGCCTGAAACTTTTGTGGAGGCAAGAAAAAAAAAGAATGGAAATTGCTGTAAAATTATAGCAAGACATTATTATGGTGCCACAAATGTTTTCCTTGCATATACTTTAATTAAGCCTATAAGTACATTTTCCTCAAGTCTTTTAGGTAGATTTACATTTCAGCAGTCTTTACCATATGCCTGGTAATATGTGTATGTGCATGTGTGTGGACAAATGTTTATTTTTATTTTAGGATGTTTTGTAACAAAACAGTGTTGGTCCATAGTACACTGTCAAAGCATCGAGCATCTTTATCATGTTGTCTTTTTCAGAACTGCTGTGAGACAGGCTTTATTAGGGACACTATTAAGAGCAATTTTAACAACAAACTGAAGTGGTATCTCAAAAGAGCAGTTAAACATTCCTGAATGGCATGTATTTGCCATGATTTGATAACAGAGATAATATGAGGTCCTTCATCACACTCTCCTTTGGCCCCCTTCTTGAATTAGCATCTCACTCAAGAAAGTGACTATTTTCTCCCTACAGAGCAACAGTCTGACATCTCCAGGGCTGTGAACTCAGTCTCACTTGTCCTTCTCTACCACTAGGGACAGCTCGCTTGTAAGTTCTCAAAAAAAGTTATGGAACAGGACGAGATAATGAATGTGGAAATATTTAGAAAAAAGGGAAAATTAATATGCAAATTCAAGTTTCATTCTATTATAATCGGCAAATAAAGGTGATGCATTTTCTTCTTCTGTCTTACATTTAAGCAAAGGGTAGGATTTTGATAGTTTCCTATAGTTGATGCAGACAATTTGATCAGTAAGTTAAAATGTAGTAGCTATCTCAATCCTTCTCTATAATCCAGAGATTAGCAAGATGAAACATAGAATATGGTCTATTAGCAGTCATTGTTCTTAAATTATCATTTTAAATTACTATCTTGAGTTTTAAAGATTATTATTTTCAACCTCTGAAATTCTCCCTCAATCCAGCACACAAAAAGTTTTGAAAGTTATTTGAATTCTACCTACTAACTTGAAGAGCAATGCTAATTCAAAATGCTTTTCCTAACAAAAAAGAAAACAAAAGAAAAAACCAAGGTAGATTATGGGGGAAAGACACATATGTCGGCTGCCTTCTGAGACTCAAAGCAAATAACACAAAGACATCGAAATGCAGGAGTCAAGCCCCTTCCTGTGAGTTCTGCTGTGCCCATCCTAGGGCCATCCTAGCTGCTGTGCCTATCCTAGAGGTGCTCTGGTTATTGCACCCATCCTGGAGTGTCCTGACTGCTGTGCCTGTCCTGGGATGCCCTGGCTGCTGCGCCCGTTCTAGGGGTGCTTTCCATTTCATCTGGGGTGCTGCAAAATTGAAACGTTATATCCAGAGACCGTTAGACTAAATATGGTCCTCTCTTCCTCTGAAAAGGAAAATGCTGGTTATCCTAGAGCTGCAAATGAATTTTACAAACATTTTCTAGAACAACCAACTCTTCAAACCTTCAGGCTCTCTCTGTTTAAACCAGTGAATGGATAATTAATAGCAGCCTCCTTTTGGGTTTTGACTAGCTTGCCAGATTCTGCACAGCTAGGGTCTTCTCCCTCTAACTTGCTTTCCTGAGCTGTGCTCGTCAATACATTGTCTTACAGAAATGAGCGTATTAATTAAGCCTTTTTGGCAAGTAATTGCATGTTAAGGTTTTTTTTTTTTTTTAATCTTTTGATTCCCTATATGAATATAAAATAAAGCACCATTACTTTTTTTTTAAATGGCACAGAAATAATTTCTTTAGCAGGAAACTAAAGCCCAATTCTAGGGTTAGAAGAACATTGAGGCTAAAAAAATTCCCTGATATACACATTACTATTTTTGTTATTTATATGTCATATGGAAATCAACAGTTAATTTCAAGATTACCAGCAATCTTGTGCAGATACAATTTTTCTATCTCAACTAACTCTAATGTAGGTACACATTATCAATAGAAAAATTCACATGCATTAACATTTCTAAAGCGTTTTTGTTAATTTCAGACAAATGGGTCAGAAACAAAGCAGGGCTGGTATTATGCTAAACTGTCCCCAGACTGAATATTTATTTATTTGTTTTAGGTAGGCAGTTTTGTAATAAGATGTCTCAGATAGAACAACCCATGGAAAATTTAGGTCAGCAGCCAAACTTGTCATTCAGTATATGACTGCTATTAGTTCCCATGTAAATGGAGAAGTAACTCATTTTAAAAACCTTCTGTAAGTGCACAATGAATCAGACATTTAAACAAAGTCACTGTGTGAAGGAGTTTGGACCCAGTAACACAATCGCATGCTTTGTACAGAGGTGTTTCTTTACAACAGCTGTTTCATTATCAGAAATCAACTTCTATGATGCATGTCAACTTTACTCATTTGTCACTAATAGAATTATTTATAAAGAAAACGCTTTCATGGATAAATCATGAAGAAAAAGTCTTACAAAACAAATAAACAAGCAAGCATTAAAGTAGAATTAATTAATTATCAAAAAACCCCAAAAAAACAAAAAAAACAAAAAAAAAAAACCAGAGCCACTTACAGGGCTTGATGGAGTCTTTGGCCAGCCTGGGCTGCTAATGCTATCACTTTCATCTCCATGAAATGAGGAGATGCTAGCAGAGCTGGGGGACATTGGGGAAGGGACTGGCAGGTTGCCTGGGGTTGGGGGCTGAGAAATACCCTGAGAGCTGTAGCTATCCTGTGGTAGAGGAATAAAAAAAAAAAAATGACAAAGGTAGGGCAAACTTTATTTAAAATAACAAAAAGTACATCCAGTTTAACAGAGTAATTTTTATATATAATATATATATAAAGACATGTACAAACAAACACACAAAAACACACATATATAAAGGTATTAAAACAACATTCTTAATTAGTATAATTTGGTAAGTTTGCTGGATGCTGGATAAGGCCACTAAGCCACCATGCTTACTTCAAGCTTACATGGAATGCTAAGCATGGGTTACCCCTTATGAACGAAAGAAAGGAAAAAAAAAAAAGCTGTTCACCTTATTTATCAAATAAGGCAGGAAAGCAAAATATTAAGTATGTTGTTGTTGCTGAGGCGGCCAAAACAGGAAGCTATAAACTGAAGGCAGAGAAAATGGCTGCAAGTACTGAAACCAGGCAAGACCCTCACTTCTCCCCGCACCAAAGCATTTTTCTTAGGTGGGTCTTGTCCCTCCACCCCCTCCCCGCAACATGAGTTAATGCCATAAGAACTAGTAACTTTCAGATCCACACCATGAAGGGGCTGGGGAAAGAAAAGAAGACTACAAACATGTTGCACAAAATGAAGGCATGCAGAAAGAGAAGAGACCAAATGAAAAAAAGTGTCGGCCAACACCAGTGAAAAGAGAACGACACAGCAGCTTTTTGCTAGGCAGACCCCACAGTGCGTGCAGAGGCGCAAGGAAGTACCTTTGACTTGCTCTCGGGCTGTGGAGTGCCTTCTTCTTTGCCATCTGCTTTGAGAGGCAGGGGCAGTTTGGATTCACCAGGAGACATCATATCTGCAAGACCCATAGATGCTAATCGAAAACAGGAGAAAGAGTTTAGGATTATACGTGTGATCTGTTGGCCTGTGCTCCTGCCAACACAAATCACTGAGTGAAGTATGAGGTACTTGCATTTCCCTTAGAGGAAGAAAAAAAGATATCGTAACTTGGAGCATACAAATTTCTGAAACCTAAAAGCATCACATTCTGTCAATCCTTTTTGATCCAAAAAACCACCACCAAAAAACAAAAAACAAAAACCCATTTAAAAAAGGACATCCTTCTTCTGTGTGCTCAGGACCCAAACCATGAAAGGTAAACTTATATCAGTATTACTTTAAAAAAATTATTATAGCCTTCAAAGAGTAGTCAACAATAGAAATAAGAAAAATGTTTAAACTGTTCATCAGGTGTTGGAAGCAAATACTGGATGTGTATGTTTTTTACCTGGATACTAGAGGATTAAGGGCATTCTTAACTTCATGGACTCAAAGGATCTAAACAATTTGAAAAATTATTTGACATTTCACATTGTTTCATTTGAAAATTGCATCCATTGTACATGGCATAGTCTACAACAAGGGAAGACTACATAGCAGACTTAAAAAACAATAATTTAAGATGCATTTTTAAGGGAAAGGATTTCTAGTTATTTTGCAATAGGACAGGGATTCTTTCAGTCTGACTTGGATCCTACAGTTATTCACCCACCACAACACTCAACACCCAGGTCAGAGGCCCATAGCGGCCCCAGGGTCAACATCCTGCTTTCTATACCTAGGCTCAGAAACCAGATCAACTCCAACTTACCATAAAGGTTCACCAAAGGACAAGTGATTTATTGTTCACATTCATTTCGGATATTAACAGACATTTTCAGGTTGAAAACATGGGCTTGGATTTTTTTCTAAAAGAAGATCAAGGCTACAGTAGGGAATTGGTGTAGCTATCCAGGGAATAACAGCTGAATTTCTACAGAACCCCACCATGCAAACCATCTGCACAACACTGGGAAGTAGGGGCTGAGAGTGAGACACCAGCCAGATGTGTGAAGAGTGAGGAAGAGGGAAAGAGAAAAGGGAGAGGAGAGAACGATGAGTCTAATGAATGAGTGAAGACCAGAAAACAGTCCTATTTCAGTGAAATCAACCCAAGGTTTTAGGAGCAGGACCAATTTTACATTCTACAAATGAAAGTGCTGCTCGACCAAGGCAGGACACATGGAGCATAATGTGCCAAAAAAAAGCTTTAAAAAAGGCTCCACAGATTGCCCACTACAAAATGATTATTGCACATATTCATGTATTACTATGTTTTAGAAAATAATTAGTTTTAATTACAGCAGTGAGAGAGTGAGCGGGCTCTGGTGAATTGGCTGGCAAGCTTGGTGGTGCTAATTTGCTAATATCGTTAGCATCACTGCAGGTTGAGACCACAGGTCCTGCCAAAAAAGCCTACCCTGCCACGTGCCCATGAGTTAGCATCAGCGCACTCAACAATGCACTTTGAAATCCTGTATTTTCCATGGGCACATTGGCTTGTTTTTCAAAGCCCATTTGCAGCCCAGTCAGTCCTTAAAGTCATCACAACACACACAAATCATAATTGAGATGTTTTTCTTTTTTTCAAATTACTTTCAATACTTAGACTTTAAGAACTGGAACAAAAAGCTTTTTCAAGTGATGCAGCTGCAGAGAAAAATCTATTGGGATCAGCTAAAAATGCTGTTATTTTTGTGAATGTGTGAAACCTCAAAAAAGCAGCTGAGCGAGATTACACCAAGAAGACCGCCTTGCTCAAAGTAGTAGATTGGATTGCTTCCGTGCTGTCTTATCTCTGGGGTCTAACAAGATATGAATTAGTAAACCTGTACATTAAACAACAGCCTTTTAGAAGAATAGGAGGGAAAGAAAGCAGGATGGGTGTGAAAAGGGGGGCTTATTTATGCAAGTCCATATGTCCTTGCTAGTTCATTCACAGAGCGGGTTCACCGGAATGACAGCCAAAACAATTCCAGAGAAGGTGGTAAAGTCGTGGGCATGTAGCTTCTGCTACATCCTGCTTCTCTCATGGTTATAAGTTACAGCTTTGTCAGTATTTACAAAAGTTATATCTGAATATTATTTTGAAATTAGTAGTAATATTCTACTTTATGTATTAAATGTGTTAATGTACACAAAAGCAACCTCTGAGCCCAAAGAACTAGGTCAGTATGCATTATCATAATTAGTGACAATTTACACTGATTTAAAAATCAGACTTAAATGAATATAAACTTATATGTTTGTTTGAAATTCCCCAAATGTCTTCATACTCTATTGTATATTTTAAAATTAGTATTTGGGTATGCAAATATAAAAATAGTCAAAAGTGACACTGCTCTAATGTTTGGAAAGGTAAATAAGGACAAAATTTAAAGTAATAGTTTCATTTAGTACCTATGCTTTATAATGTACATTTTATTTTACTAAATGGATCATAAGATCTTTCTTTATTGTGGCTTTTACTATTCTTTTTGTGGAAATGCTTATTTTTGACTTCTTACCAGAATACTCAATGAATCACTGCAAAGAGCCATATGCCTCCCTGGGCAATGGGACCCCAGGGGCACTATGTTTCCTCCTTTCCTAGAAGAGAAGGGCCACTTCTGTCACAAGGAGGTGCTAAATCAAGGCACTGCTCTCTCTCTTATTGACATGTAATCCAGTATGTAAAGTTCACACATAAAAATGGGCAGTAAAGAATCTGTGACTGTGGAAAGTGCTGCCCAAGTCCTGTGAGTGCCTTTCAAGCACTAGCCTCTAGCTTCCATGTGGAAGTTTAAGAACCAGAATGATTTCAACTCAGCATGGTGGAGGTCCTAAGGCAGCTATTCTACACTGGATTTAAATATTCAGAAGGAACATAAAGAACACATGACACGAGTGACACAGAACCCAGGCATTCATTCCGCTTTCTCCTGGCTTCCTTAACTAGAAGAGGGTGAACCAGGATCAGAAACACAAACAGTCCCTTACTTTTCATGGTAGTACACCATACTCTGCAAAATAGTTTACTCCTCGCTTTTGAAAACACACAGGGCCGATCTACTGTGTACATCTGTAGATGTTCTTGCCTATTTTTATATGCGGCAAAACAAAAGCACACCACGAACACACATGACCAAAGAGCTCAGGCAGGCACTGCACTTCTCTCTGGCAGCACACTCAAGGCTCCGTTCCCGGACACCTCCTACAGTAGGACAAACCTCCACTGGGGGAGAGGGGGTGTGTTGGAGAGGCTGTGGGGCTCTGCACACCCCATCATGGCATCAGTGCTCTCTTGCCTCGCACGGTAGCTCCAGGTCTTGGCCACCTGCAAAGTCTGAGCCACCAGTATACTTTTGTGTTTGGTTTTTAAAATTTATCAAATCCTTTCTATCAAGTCTTCTGTATTTGGGAGCAGGGCAGTAATTTACCTAAATTACCTTAAAGAAAGCAAGCAAACAAACCTCAACAACTTTTATAAACAACCTAGATGACCAACCACTAGCAATGGCACCAAAGGCCCATATTTCCTTTGTAAAGACCTTGAGATCCCAAAACAACTTCCATTACACAGCAATAAAGTAAGACAAAAGGATGGACTTCCAGGCAACTTGGATGGATTTGGAGTCTATCCTACTGGGTAATGTATCTCAGAAACAAAGAACTGAGTACATGTTCTCACTCATAAGTGGACCCTGAACACCTATCATAATACTACAAAAATGGAATTGGCAGTAGTGGGACACTGCCAGGGGAAGAAGGGGGCACATTACATCAGTAAAGGTTCCTGATCCAGCTGGCAGGTTGATATTCTAGGCATTGTTTTATAAATTTTTTTTTAAAATTTCAAAATAACAAATTATCTGGTAAATAGCTAATGCCACACAAAGTTGGCTGCAGTTCTGCCATGAGACCGTTGGGGAAATCACCTCTAAGTGGATAGTTCCTCCCGCTTGCACACGCATGCAGATTCAGATTCCTAGACTGTCCTTGGGAGTCCTGATGGGAGCACAGGAATCTGCAGTTTTTTTTTTCTTTTCCTAGAAATAAACAATTCATTCTCCCCCCCCGCCCATAAACCATGTTTTGTTAATTTTTGTTCTGTTTTAATGTTGTGGGGTACAAGTCAGGATTGGGTACATAAGTGGTTTAGGTATAGGTGAAGTTTGGACCTCCCACTGGACCTCACTTTGTCTGGATTAGGATCAGGCACCTTTATTGATGTTATGTGCCCCCTTCTTCCCCTGACAGTGTCCCACTACTGCCAATTCCATTTTTGTAGTATTATGATAGGTGTTCAGGGTCTACTTATGAGTGAGAACATGTGGTACTCAGTTCTTTGACTCTGGGATATATTACCCAGTAGGATAGACTCTAAATCCATCCAAGTTGCCTGGAAGCCCAGCCTTTTGTCTTTCTTTGTTGCTGTGTAATGGAAGCTTCAGTTTTAACAAGCACTCTAGATCCCAAAGTGAGCGGCTCTCGCTCTGTGTGGCGGTGCAACCGACAGTTTTTATTTGTAAAGGACTACTGGACTGGTGTACCCTGATTGGCAGGGCATCAGCAAGACACTTCACATTTGGGACTGAGCAATGCTAGGCTAGTGGAAAGACTCACTACTGGTGTGTGAGCAGGGCCTGCGAGCGAGGAAGCCCGGCTGCAGTGGCATATGGCGGCTCCTTGCTATTTATGGTGACAGTGCTAGAAATGCCCCACATTTTGTAGAGTAACGTCTGGTGAGGCAAACTTAGAGCCACAGATGGCAGATACATTTTTTGGAAGTTAGATGTCCACTTTAAGATGATGGTTTATATGCAGCAGATAAGTATATGGCTAATGAATATTATAAAAATAAACACAAGTGAAATCCAACTAGTAATGTGTTATATTAGTGTATATTTAACAAGGGTTCATGTTATTTGTAATTTTGCCCACAGTAATACATCATTCTAACCTTTTAATCTACAGAGTTAAAACAAAACCAAAAAAAGCTCCTTTAGAGGGAAAAATTCCCACTGCTTACCATCCTACTTCCCCTGGCATTTTAAGTGAAGAAATGGTTGTCACATTTATACTCACACTGACTCCATTTAAATAATTACTTGCTCACTGAAGCCTGTAACAATTTGTCACTACACAGGAGGGTTTTTTTTGGCCCTGTACACTGTCTACAACACAATTGTATGAACTCAGTGAAGAGAATGCTGGAATGTCAGTTGCATTGGCTGCGAACTGAGGTTCAGAGAATTCCACTGCCAGCCCTGGCCATCATTTGTATTGTCCTCACTTTCTCCAAAAGTGTATTTTGGTGGAGAAATGCTTTGCTGTTATCACCAGTAATTACCATGGGTCCAAACCAAGGAGACTGAAGTGATGTCAGTGGATGATGGCACCTGGCCCACCTCTAGTAGGGTCAAGAGTGCACTTTTATATCCCAGTTCTCACTGGGGGCTATGCTGTCATGTTCCGTGTCACTCTCGTCTCCTTCAGAAATGGGAAATCGTCACAGAGTCACATGTGCCTAACACCAGGTTCCCAGCCAATGCCTCATGGGATAGATGATGACTTCCCATCATGTAGCATTTCCCTCAACAAATCTGGGATAAAATCGTATAAATGTGTAGAGGAAAATTTGATCAATGTTTACATTATTAAGTATTCAATATTTCAAAATGCACAATGCAATAAAAAGTATACTACTGCTCTATACAAAAGACTGAGAGGATAAACGGTCTTTCACTGAACAGATTTCCTCTGTATGGAATAACGAATAACTGAATTATCTGAATAATAATAAAAGAGAACCCTCTCTGTGAATTTCCATTAAACTGGCTATTCCTCAGGAATACATAAATCTTCTCAGGCAGGGCACTGTGCCATCTGTTTGTTGTTGGTTGTTTTTGTGACTCTGGGGCCCAAAGGAAGAAGAAAAAATGAGCATTGCTAATAGTAGGTGAAAATTTATTGTGTAGTCTCAGTGCTCTGAGGGAACTTTATTTCAGCAAGCCAGACAAAACATATCATGTCACAACCCAAATCCTCTATACATGGGCTAGCGCTGGTTAGTGAGAGAGGAGGCTTTCAGCTAACAGACTAACTGAGAACTTTTACTTCACCTCAAATGTAAAAACACACCTCACTGGGATGGATGAATAACTTCCCACATAGCACCAAGAAGCGTTTATTTATTTATTTAAAAACTTTCATTTTTACCAATAGTTTCTGCGTGTTCCTCTTTCATAAACCTTTCAAGAGAAGTCATCAGGGAAATGAACTATTCAGCTAGAATCAGCTCAGAAGTTCAGACAGGAGGTGAGCCCAACATCTCACCACATGCTCTGCCTGACAGGGAGCCTTTCAAAGACAGAGGCCAGAAAGGCACAAGAAACAAAAAGAAGTAATCAGAGAGGAGCAATGCTCTCACTCTCCAGTGTGTTCCTAACCATCATCAGGCATTGCAGGACACATAGTAGCTAAGCCAAGCTCTGTATTAACTCAAGGAGAGAATCCTACCAACAGGGCATCTACCATTTTAACATGATTTACAGCGACAGGTCACCTGGAATACACAGCATTTTCTCATCTAAGAGTTGCACTCACAGTCTTCAGGAAGTTAGGTAACTTGAGGAGGTGGCGTCAAGGGTCTCAAGAGGCTAAGCACATGGGAAAGCCACACAGTTTTAGACATTCTTGATATTTCCCACAAAACTGACTATGGATCAACTAGTCAGACATGACTTTGTAAGAATGCAACCATTAAAAAAAAAAAAACAACTGTTGAGATTATAAAGTGGATTGAAATAACTAAATATAACAAAACATTTCAAACAATTTCTCAGTGAAGACAATTTGCACACAGTCCTTATGAAGTCAATCCTTCCACGTATCCATTAAAAGGTGTTTCCCTAAATGAACTAAAGTCCTTCACATCCCTCTTGCTCTGCTCTTCAACCGTTTTTTCTAAAATGTGAATTCTAAATGTTGACCTCTACCACCTCAAAATGGAGTTTTTATTGTGGGGAACTTCCATACTAGTATTCCCCCCAAATAAAGAGAACTTAGTGTATATATTTAGCAAACAGCCTCCAATGACACTTGAAATACGTCCACGTAGTATACACTGCAGAATGAATAAAAACAATTTGCATAAAAGATAAAGGAATCCCCAAGTCTTAAACAGATTGCGCAGGTTTCCAAGAAGCAGAGAAACAGCAAAGTTCCCACTTCCGCCAATGGACCGCCTTCTCCAATGGTCTGGGCACGTTCACTGTGGAAGCCTGAGAGGGGGAAGAGGGAAGGGGGGGGCGGCCTCGGGGGCAAAGAGCCGCCAAGGTTACCTGCCGAGCTGTTCACCATGGCGGGCGTCACGCTGTATGGCGGCGCCTGCGTGTTCATCAGGCCAGAGTTGTTGTTCACAGGCTGGCTGTAGGCAGAGCTGGAGGCCATGAGTCCACTCTGGTTCATGCCAGGGAAACTGCCTTGCCTGGGAAGAGAAAGCACAGGCACACATGTACCCACGGCACTCAGCAGCAGTTTGCCCTGGCAGTCATTTCTAGCAAAGCACTTAGGTAAGGGGTGGGGCTATTATTTTCATGTTTGCTTAAAATAGATTCTTTTCTGGGGACAGAGGCTGAACGCTATTGCTAGGTAGCTATTTAATACACTATTTAAAAATTCCAAATAATATAAGTTCCACAAATAAAAATCACACATTTTCAAGCATGTTAAAGTGTTCCACGTTGTTATTTATATAGAGAAATATAATCAAGAAAAAGGGAACTTGAAATAAGAACAGGAATTACAAAAGCAAGCAAAATTAACTTCTACTTGAAGAGTATCTGACTATTAACACTACTTCGTATCCTCAGATCAAAAACCAGAAGTCAAGAAATGCAAAATAAATGGGCAGTGTGGGCATGTTTTTTAAAAATTTCCTTGACCCACATTTTCTGATATAATAAATACGGTTTCCATTTCCAAAACTCTCCTCAATCCTAGTACTTAACTTTTGTGATGAGGTTCTGTTAAAAACATACAATTTCCCTATATTAAAGTCATACAGCAGATATCCGACTTCCGCTTCCTGTGGGTGGGCCTTTGTGTTCCAGGCCAGGATGGTGCAGTAGCATCAGCTGTCAACATCCCTGATGCACTGAGTTGCCCTCCCCCACCATGGTGGAGCCTTGGCTTAGTCTTTGGATGACTTAATGTTGTTACTTTTGTCCTAAAGCTCTCTGAGAGTCAACTTCTTTTCACCCTTGTAAAGGAGAGGAGTGTTCTTTGATCTGAAGGAGACAACTGTCACACAATGTCACTGCTCTGATTGCTGGTAATGAGACTGGGGAGAGGGAGAGATATTTGAACTGCACGGTGGATTCCTTCTCCCAGGGAAAGTTACAATACAAAGAGAGGATGGCAATGTGGCAAGGCTTGACAAGACTCTACCAATATAGTCAAACTTTTCTTATGGAAAGAGCATATTCTTAAAAACTCAGTTTCATCAAATGTTTCATCTTAGGAGTACAGGTGCTTACCTATTCTAAATTAATTATGATTACAACCCCCTGCCACTGAACTGCCACTTGGTATAATAGTCAATATTTTAAAATGAGATTCTTTAAGAGATCAACATAAATAATTTTAAAAAATCAATTTTACTGTTTCTTTTATGTACCTATTTTCAGTGAACTCAAATAAAAAAACACTTGTAGCAAAAAAGTTAGTAGAAAAAGTTCCAACATGGATCATTTGAAAAATCAGTGAGGTCTGTGAGGGGGAAGAAGAATAAAAATACCAAAGGATTAAGTGGGTTTTTTGTTTTTGGGTATTAGACAAACCAGGAAAATTCTATACAAACTAACACTCAGTGATGGCTTGAAAACACCATTCTTAGAAGGCTGAAAGATCCTTAGGTGTGAGTGTGGCTCTGGGAGAAATGGGTGTAACGTCAGCTGTCAATTCTCAGCTGCCTGCAGGTTCACTTTGAAAACTACAGACTGTCGAATCAGAATGGTAGTACCCACTGCAGTTCTTTTAAGAATAGAGCTGAGATCATTCAGCGGCTTCTGATTAATCTCTAGATCCTCAAATACTTACACACACATTGCACCATAGCTGTCAACATACTCTGATCGGGTCCTAACATCACCCTGTAGACTGGTGGCATTAACTTGAGTATCCTAAAAGTATCCCTTTTGGGGTGTTGTCTTCGTGCAAGGAACAACTTAGCATTCATGTAACTGTTTTGAACGTGGTACGTGGTGGGACTGCTCTCTCAATTTCCTAGCAGATGAATCACTGAAGACCAGCTTTAACTGATGAACAGATTATGTTTTCTGGAAGGCTACTTCCAAGTTACAGTCATTTAGACCCATTCTTCAAGACCTTCTGTCATAGCCACTCTCAAAAGACTGTCCTTGCTACCCATCCTGGAGGTGAGACCTGCCTTCTCTACTCACCCACATCGTCTGTGCCTTCTGTAGCATTCAGCTCTTTTGTATGCTAAAATAATTTATGCATGTCTTGGCTCTTTAGGCATGTGAGCCTCCTGAGAGGAGGATCTGGACCTAATTAATATTTGCACATGAGAGTTACTAAAAAAATGTGTTAAAGGAATAAATTAGTAGAAAACGTTTTTATCACTGGAAAAGACATTATAAAAGATGGTCACCTTTCGAGCTCTCTCTACATTCAGTTTTACATGTGTAACTAACACGTATGGCACTATGGTTCCTTGAGACACCTGTTTATACTAAGGTGGAAAACAGAATCAGAGTATAAAACCCACCAGGTGTACAGTTAAACGAAGTAACCATCCAACCCTAATCTACAACTTCTCCCTCCAATTCATCACTGTCTGTCTTTAACCATTATACCATGATAAAGGCACATTATCAGTTTAAAAAAATACCTTTAAACTAAGTAAAAAAAAAAAAAATCAGAGATTTAAAGGTCCATGCATTGGATGTCAGTGGCTGGTTACAATGGTCTTTATTTAAACCATACCTGCAGTTTCAAAGTCTGGTTGAAAAGCCACAGGGCTTGACTCTGTCACTAGCTATACTTTCCACTGTCACCGGGGATTTGGAAGCAAAACATTTTAGTTCCTTGGATTTCAGTTTTTATATCTGAACATGAAGGTGCTGACAATGATAATAACAATAATTTATTAAGTACTTGCAACATGCCTACACAATTTCTGTGCAATTTACACATTCTTTTTTTTAATTTCTGGAGGAATTATGCCATATATAAAGGAGATAAGGATCAGAAAGGTTAAGTAAATTGCTTAAAGCCACACAGCTGATAAGCGGCAGAACAGAACTTGCCAAACCTGCCATTAGTCCAGTGTACTCTACTCTTTCTCTGTGAGCCTCGACCACTGAGACAAAGTCCAAAGGCACACAGTGGCCTACTAAGCAACACCTTTCCATGTGTCTAGTGCATGAATCTGTGGCTGTACAAAGATGACAAACCAGACGGTGCTTTTCTCAGCCTCCTCCTTGAGCTTCCTGGAGTAGACTTCAGGGTGAGGGGCACAATGAGGCAGGGAGTGGGGCGTGGACACACAGCTCCCCGACACCTGCTTCTAGGAAGGAGTCTCTTCTGTGTGTGGCAGGCCTCCTGGACATCTAAGGAAGGAAGCAGCAGGCAGGGAGACAGTCTTCCAAGAATGCAGGGCACATGTGCTGGGAGCAGAGGGGCTACCTGTCTGAATGGGGAGAGCCAGTCTATCACCATTGCAGAAGAAATCCTCTTCATTACTCTTTAGAAACTACTGCCAAGAGTACTGGTATACCTGGATAAGGTGATGGGCATCACACTGAAAGGAAGTGGGCAATGCACGCTGCTGAGTTCTGGAAATGGAGATGTATTTTGTGGAGGAAATCCTAAGATGGCCACCACTTGGGCAAGCCCCAGGACCCCATGCTTTCCATGGTGCTGCTCATGTAAGAGTATTTCTTTGGCTCACAACAAAAAGCTGCTTATTTGGTGGGCTGAATATGATGCCCAGGACCACAGCAACCCAGGTCGAGTCATCTTCCATGCAGAGGGGTCCTTCCAGAGGCAGCCCTGACTGCGAAGGCCCTTTTTGACCACGGCAGCATGGGGGACACTCCAGGTGGAGCTTTCAAAAGGATACATGAGTCAGCTAAACAAAAACAGGAAAAATACAAGTGGAAACGAGGGCGGGGGGGGCATTTCAATGTAAAGCCCCACCTGGAGAAGCAAAGTGGCCTACCTGGGTCCTTGGGCTGTCAATTCCCATGGGGCCACGGGCTTAGACAGCTGTGTTACAAATGACGGCTATCCTGACTCTCCAGGTCCCTGACCCATATTGTGGCAACGAGTGCCCATAACACCTCAGGGGGGTAATTTGATAAATATTAAAATAATTCGGTGCTGCTGAGGAGACGCGCACCATGGGAGTGACCGTGAGGGGAACTGCACCCAGACCCCAGTGCACTGACCAGCCCTGCGCTAGCCAGGGCCAGGCTACACTGTGCTACTGCTCCATCCTTGTCTCTTTTAAATGGTGAGATATGATACGGGGAGTCGTTCTTTAAACATGCTGACTTGCAGAATGGCCAGAAGAACTTTATTTAAATCGGTCCTTGGTTGTGACCAGATATATTTAAATTCTGCCATTCTATGACAGAAACCAGGTCACTGTAAGAAGGATAATTCAGAAGCGAGGCCTGCACATGCATGTTCCTAAGCCCTCTTCATTCTTGCTTCTCACTCTGCACACACACACCAATAATCTTTTATATTTTGTCCTTTTAATCAGTTTGGAGATTTCCCAAACATTATACATTTATCTGCCAAAAAAGGACTGGCTTTAGGGGAAAAAAAAAAGCCCAAAGCAAACACCAGTTTTCAAGTGACCATTTCAAATGGTTCAGTGTGAGGTGAGAGAGGAATAGAGCTTCCCACTAGTTTTAATTCAGCAGTTAAAAATATTAGTATGAAATTCCATGGAGTTCCTACACCTTTCTAAATATCTGGCTTGTAAATCAACTACAATAACATATAAAATAAAGTGTATACTTGATTTTGGTGCTTTACAAAGGAATATTTAGGCCTTATCATTTTGGTAATCAACACTGTATTTTCTCCACAGTGATGGACGGTGAAGTGTGATGGCATGTCTTTAGAGTGACTGGATTTCTGGAGCTCTTTGGAGGAGGGTAGGGACAGAGAGAAGAAACAGAGACCTTGTGGGTGAAGCTCCTTTATGACCCGAGTAGCAGGCCAAAGGGAAGCCCTGCTCTGCAGATCCCCTGCCTCCCCACTGCAAATACTGCTCCTGAGTCACGTTCTGAATGAGCACCGAGCAGCATGCACTTTCCTGGGAAACTGAGCATGACTGCCAGCAACCTTCTCTATGTGGACTGTCATTGAAGATATGTTAGTTCTGAAACCAGAAAACACTGCTTATTGACAGAATAAACTAGGCCAAATCTACTGGAATTTGGGGCA